TGTCAGGATACCCTACTGTCAGATTTTCCAAATATGATTTTTTCCCCCCATTAATACAGTGCCAGTGTCCTTTGTTCTGTTGTACAGTATAAAAACATTTGCTGCCTTGTGTTTATCAGTGTCTGAGAGCGGCCATCCACCCTGGACCTGGGTGCTGCCCATCCCTGTTCCCTAGCCCCCACTGATGAATTTTTGCCCCCCCGTAGGGGAAGTCCGCCCTGTGGTCCCACCTGCTACACTTCCAGGCGCGAGAGGAGAGGCTGGAGCTGCAGGTCGAGTCGCCAGGTGAGATCAGCTGTTACTTTTTGTTCTTTTTGTTTTGAACTGAATAGATTGGTAAAAACAAGCTGCCCGCTTTTGGAGGCTGATCCCTTATCTGTTTTTCTTTTTGCCCCCACAGTTTCTTATGGGCCGGAACGGAGGAAGTCAGAAACGAGTGTGGGCCTCCCTTATCTCAGAGTGTCGCTCATGCAGGATATGAGGTTCGTCACGTGACCGGTTTTATTGCGAGGATCTCCAGGCTGACTGTCTCTCGTCTGCATTTCCACTGGGGACATGTGTCTCCACCTCTGTTTATTTGTGCCCTCCCCATACCCCAAAAACCATCTAAATTAAGCAGCTCAAACTGAAAGATAGAGGTTTCTAAAACCGATGAGGTCAGTGACCTGAGTGGCTGCCGGCTTGAGCCCGTCTGCTGCTTCCTGCTTCCTGCTTCCTGCTTAGTGCGGAGCCCACGGCCCACTTACGGTCATTACTGTGTAGGCAGCACTGTGATGAAGAAGGATGGTGCGAATCTGAATCCCCCCCCCCCAGGCACATTCAGAACATAAGCGAGATCAAGACGGAAGTAGGCCGCGCTCGAGCCTGGATCCGGCTCTCCCTGGAGAAGAAGCAGCTCTCGCGGCACCTCAAACAGCTGCTATGCAATGTGGCTTTAACAAAGTAAGAGTACGTCTGTGTATCGGGACAATGGCAGCAGCTGCATGTAGACACACACACATCCAAACACACACACACACATACAAACACACACACACACATCCAAACACGCACACACACACGTGCGCACAATAGAACACACAGTGTTATCTACAGAGTTAACCACATCGAGTTATCTCATGAAATTGCGCACAACATCCAAAAAACTATATCTCATCTTACCAGAGACATAAGATTGCCTATGAATACATAAGTTGGTTCAAAATTGCTTGTTTTCCTACAGTAGCAGGCCTGTCTGCTGGGGAGTAAAAAGCACAGATTGAATTCCTCTGAAAACTGAAATAAAAACCCAAAACCATTATAGTCCCAGATAGTGAAGGGCGGTTTTATTTCCTAGAGGAGCCCGTGCATGGAGAATGAACAGCATGTTCAATCTATGGGATAAAACCATTAAACCCAGTTGACAGCAGCTCAGAATGTGGTCCTTGGGGTAATGTGTGCCAGCAAGATGTCATGCATTAATACACTGGGGCTTGAGAGTCGTGGGACCGGTAGCCTTTTTGACCGGTACGCTGTACCCTGTACCCTGCAGGAAGTTGTACAAGCGCTACGCCTTCCTCCGCTGCGAGGAGGAGAAGGAGCAGTTCCTCTACCACCTCCTGTCCCTCAACGCTGTCGACTACTACTGCTTCACCGGAGTCTTCACCACCATCGGTGAGCTTCCTGCACGCCGAGCCGGATACCGTTAGCGCCCTGGTTGGCTAGAGCGGCCCCTTGCTTTGACTTCCTCGCGTTGCTGTAGGCCCTAAGCATCTCTGCGGGGCTGTTTCCTAGCTGCTCTTCAAGGTGCTGATCCGCAATGAAAACCAAGTGTCTGTTTGAAGATTTTCAGAAGGCATGAATCATTTCACACCCAGAAAAACATGTTCACTGGATTCCACTCACACTCCACAGTTAAGCCTCAGTGTGTCATTGCTGAGCTCAAGGCTGTCTGCCAGAAACTGTCACCTAAATTTGAATATTTCCACCCCCGAAAGATGGTTGGTGCAGTATCTCAGGACAGTAGCCGGGCTTTGACGTCACAATGATCATGGTTCTGAATCCATTTTACTGTCCCAGCAAGCTGAATAATTCAGCACCCTGTGGACCGACAGCTGTGTCACTGAAAGCCTTTGTGGGCGGAGAAGATCCAGATTCAGTCCGCACACTATGCTTGACCGGCTAAGAAGTGAACCGAACATAGCTACAGAGCTTAACTGAAACTCGAGAGCTTTCATGAAAGCTGGTATCGTTACCCATTTCGGGTTTGGTTTGCGTCTGATGCTGTGTGGTGGCAGTGACCGAATGCTGACGCAGTGTGCACTGGCAGAGAGCTGCGCTTGCAAGATCTAACCACAGTATTTACACAGCATCACGTCCCAGAAATGATTGAAAATGGCTTTACCATACAAAAAATAACCAGAACCTCTTCCTCTGTCGCCTTCTGTTGTTCATCTTACTTTTGTTCCACCTTTTAAAGATTTGTAAAGATCACAAGTATTAATATATATAAAATTTGATCTTTGGCAAAATACATGGTTTATCAGCAACTCAACTGGCAGCTGAATCCATCCATCAGATTTAGCTGCATCTTACCCAATACTGGGTCGCGGTGACTACCAGCTGAATAATTAAGCTAATGATTTTTACTTGTATTTGTAATACTGGTTTTGCACTTACACTGCGTATGTAGTTAGCATAGCATATTCGCAAAACTGTCCATGTAACTTTTTACATTAAGGGATTTCCTTTAATATAGGTGTAACATCTTCATAATTATATGATTGTTGTATCAGAGCCAGTTTGAATTCTGCGATGGGCAAACTGATTCTGTCATTGGGCCCCTGAGCAAGGTCCTTAACCCCCAGGGGTGCTGCATGCTGTCTGACCCTGTGCTGTGACCCCCCCCCCCACCAAGCTTGCTCTCACCTGTATTGCTATTCTGTTCTATTCACTGTTTTGTCTAGGTGATTATCAGCAGTACACCATTCTTTTTGTGAAATAGAAGCCTTTTAAAAGTGTATGTGCTCATGTATAACCATGGCGACTCATAAAGCGCTGTGTTCTCACTGATTTTTGTCCCTGCAGTGATTCCGTACCATGTGGTCATCATTCCCATCAAGAAGCTGAGCAATGCTATGACCACCTCCAACCCCTGGGTGTGTGTGTCGGGCGAGCTGGGTGACTCGGGCGTCATGCAGATCCCCAAGAACGTGCTGGAGATGACATTCGAAGTGAGTGCCGGGCGGAAATGCCGCGTCATGCCGCCAGGTTTGCCGGGAATGATGCCGCGACGTCTTCGAGTTCTTCTTGATTTAATGCTCTCTCACGCTTATCCCTCATTCGCTTCAGTCCTCTGCCTAATGGCCATGTCTGATCTCTTCATTGTGTCTGCTGGTGTGGCTGTGATCATCATTTGTCACCATGAAGCTTAATGTCAGATATGCTAACCCCTACCATGAACAGGTCTATGAGGCCACAGCAGGCCGGTAACATGGTGACAGTTGCAGTGTTACTTTTGTCTGTGTCACCACTGCGCAGTCTATTTCCCAGTGGCTCTGCATGTGACCTGTTTACTACAGAGTTGTCCCTCCCCATAGCAAGGCTGAGAGCCAGTCACATGTGAATGTCTCTTAGCTCAAAGCACATGCTTTTTCTAGTGACACATTTTACTGTTACACTTAGATTTTCCACACTATTTATAATTAAAACATTGTAAACCTGCAACCAAAATATTTTAAATATAATATTACTTAAATGCTGCAATGGCTTGGCACCCAGTCCTGGGTTTTTCTCTACCTTGTGGTCATAGCTTCTGGGATAGACTCCAGACCCCCAAGACCCAACAAGCAAGTTTAAAGATGGATGGATGGATGGATGACTTAAATGATGAGTGTCATTAAAAGATGAGTGCAGGATCTCAAAACCTCATGAGGACAAAAACACTCACTAAACCCAACCCACGTTTTGCCTTTTCGGGCCCACGCCCCCCATCCCTCCACGCTGTGGCCCATCATGTCCTGACGCTGTCTCCCTCTCCCAGTCTGCTTTTAGGCGCCATCAAACACGTATCTCCACAGCATTCAAGGTTAGGTTAATCCTCACTTTTCCCAGCCCGGTGCCGGGCCGCTGTAGGTCCTGGTCCTCGTCTGGTTCCCTCCATTTCTCCTCAGTTTTCTGGGAACGTTGGGTTTTCCATGGGTGCTGAAGTTTTTCATTGTTCTCACAAATTTTTGCCTCACTAACTTAACTCTGTAACGTACAGGAATGCCGCATGCTCATCCAGCTGCAACTAACGCTGCAGCAACTTCAGCTGCAACTAACTGTCTACAGAGGAATTTTTAATATCACTAACAAAACCTGAGTACAGTCGTCGCTGGTCGGCTTATCATCGCACATCTGCAGTCGTGTTCTCCCTGTCTTTCTCCACCCACCGTTGTTGCTCTCTCCTATGTTCCAGTGCCAGAATCTGGGCAAGCTCACCACCGTCCAGCTGGGGCATGACAATGCGGGGCTGCTGGCCAAGTGGCTGGTGGACTGCGTGATGGTGCGCAACGAGATCACTGGACACACATACAAGTAAGGCTTCGCTTCAGACCTTAGACTGACCACTGCGATTGCCCCTCAGCCTGTCCTATAACCCCTCAGCCTGTCCTACAGCCCCTCAGCCTGTCCTATAACCCCTCAGCCTGTCCTATAGCAACCTTCTTTCAACAACGGTTGTATGGTTCTGGCTCTCCCAGCACCCCAGTGCATTGTGGGTAGTACAGAACATGCATGTTTAATGCTGATTGGCCTGCTTGACCCCCCCCGCTTCAGGTTCCCCTGCGGCCGCTGGCTGGGAAAGGGCGTGGATGATGGCAGCCTGGAGAGGGTCCTGATTGGCGAGCTGCTGGTGCCAGCCGGGGACGAGGAGGGGGGGAAGACGTGCCGGACCCCCCCACAGCAGCGCTCCCCGACCCAGGCCAGGCGCAGCAGCATCCCCTCTATAACTGGGCGGGGTGGCAGTAAGTAGGGCTACACTTTTCACCCAGGGTGCCCTGCAGCCTACATATATCCCAGAATTCCCCTCTCCTCAAAAGCAGAGTTACTTTTCTCACTCATTACAGATGCTCTTTATTCTCTGCTGTATCGCAGGCATACAGTAGTGACATGGATACCCTAGCAGATTCAGGGGGGCAGCACTTGACAGGGGCCAATGAATATGTAAAACTAAGTAAAAATCGGTGGCAAGGTGACATTTTCGGGGGGGGGGCATAGTATCTAGGTATGCCCTGGCTGAAACCTTGTGCTTTAATTGGGGGTTGACTGTAGCTGAACTAGCTGACAAGTTACCCGCTTTTGTGGAGGCTTTGGGGCCCCCCCCCCCGCCCTCATGTGGAGGACCTGTGGAGGCTGGAGTCGGCGAGTGACAGCTGGTGAACGTGTGACCCTCGTGTCCCTTCTGACTGAGCCGGTGCCCAGAATCCGACTGGCACTTTTAACGGCCCTCGCTCCCCTCTGCTCTCTCTGTGCTTTGTGGCCAAACTGCTAACGTGAGGTCAGAGGGATCATCTGAACTGCAGCATCTGCAGTAAAAAAAAAAAAAAAAAAAAATCAACCAGAAAAGAACACCGCAGTCTCTGCAGTTTCTGGAGCCTGATTTGATTAGTTTTACAATCTTTCGTTTGACACGGTTTTCTCTTTCATCCACCACCCACTGAAATAAGCAGACCGCTTTGCATTTAAAATGCAGCCTCTTCCTGCTGGGGACATTAACCTTAAAGTGCTTCTTCACAGAGCCCAACTGCGCTCAGATCCAGGAGGCCATCGGCGAGGCGGTGAACAACATCATCAAACACTTTCACAAGCCCGAGAAAGAGGTGGGTCCCTTGTGGCTGACGGGCATGACGATGGGCTGACTGCAGTCTCTCTGAAACGTGCATGGGGGGGGGAGCCTTATATACCCCTCTCTCATTGATCCATGTGTATATTTTAATGAAATCACGCTGCAGCTCCCATCTCCTACAAAAGCCCTGCCTGTCAGCTTTTTCATCTATTATTACTTGCCTGCTATATCCTTATCTCGTCTCTTTTTGTGTTTTGCAAGTGACTGATTTTCTCTCACCTTAATCTCTATCTTCTGATGTTTTGTTTTGGCCTTGTACCTTTTAGCACAATTATATTGTTCAGCGCCTTGTGACCGCTGCCTCTGAAAGGCACTCTGTAAATACATTTTTACTTACTTGATAGAGCACAATGTAAGTAAGTGTTTTTCTGATTGCTGTAGGCATTTCGTGAATTATACATTTTTTTCCAAATGGGTCACTTTCCAGTAAATTTACAATTCATAAACATTCAAGGGAAATGTGAATCTTCCGCTAGTCCCACCCGGCCTTGTGTAATTGCTATGCTGTATGACAGGATGTTATACGCCTTTCTCTGGTGGTTTGGCAAATCCTTATTTATAGACAATGAGGTCTTAGCAACAGGCTAAAGTGGATGCGATTGGGTGACCACCGTCTTGTGCCCTGCAGAGAGGCAGCCTGACCCTCCTTTTGTGCGGTGAAAATGGCTTGGTCTCCTCCCTGGAGCAGTTCTTCCACCATGGCTTCAAGACTGCCCGCCTCTTCCAGAAGAACGTCTTTGTTTGGGACTTCGTGGGTAAGCCTTCATCCAATCACGAGGCAGGGCTCGATCGGTCTCTGCGTCACACACAGGACTGGGACGAGCTTTGTGTCGTACACAATGCTTTGGCTCGTCTACAAACAGTGGTGAACCTGCTTAAGTAGAAGTGCAGTTGTGCCCCCTAGTGGTAATGCAGCTCTTGTAAACCATGAAATATATTGCTGTTTTATTTTAGTGAAAGCAAACGTGAATGTAGATAGTGTTTTAGATAGAGCTGATTCCAGCTATTATGATACATTACTTGTATTTTTCATGCACAGATTCGTTAGTCGTCAGACTCATTATTAGAGTCTTCATCCTGACAATGATACCATACTTTCAAGTGTATAGCCCTCACTACAGTGGGCAGTATCACATTTCTTACATCAGGTTGACACTGTTCTCTTCTCTCGGCCTGTACAGAAAAGGCCACGGCCTACCTGGAAAGTGCTGACCAGGTGGGGGACCTACAAGAATCCCCAAAGTCCGTGGGCCCAAGCTGCGAGACCTTCTGCCGGTACGTCAACGGCATCAACGGCACGTCCCGGAGCATCGGCAAGGACGGCAAGTTTCAGCTGCTGGTCTGCCTTGGAGCCCGGTGAGTGATGAGCTCACATGACCGCCATGTTTCCAAGAACGTTTTGATAGTGTCGGAAGACGCGTCCAAACTAAATCCCGCAGGCTGTATGTCAGGAAAGCGGGCAACAGTCGTCAAGACTTCAACTAGATTCATATGTGCGTTTTGCTGAATCTCGTAACTAAGACAACAGTTTGTGCCTTAAAACTGTTTATTGCCATTTACTGATCACTTCTGCCAGCTAATTAATTATTTTGTTGTATTCAGTACTCCCAGTGAACTGCCACTAAGAAATATGTCCATGGAGAATTATGTTTTGGAGCCAGTTTGACCCAATGACTGGCAGCAGAAGCTCTATGAGAAGCTGCTCCTCTGTGCCGCAGGCTGTGCTAACTGAGAATATCCAGCCTAAACCCCCCCCCCCCCCGTCTTCCATCTGCATTAATATAACTGTAAAGAAAGATAATCACAGATAATGATGACATTCCAGGACACCAAAGTGCTTGTCCAGCCCAATATTGAACTAAAAAACTGTACAGAAGTCATAGGCAGTCAAAGGACATGTTCAGTAAAAATAGAATCATCGTTAGGATATCAGCAAAGTCAGAGTAACACAATAAAAACTAACAGGAATTGCTTCTGTTCTCAAAAAAGATATTGATACAGGCAGTTTCCAGGTTACAAATGAGATCCGTTCCCTCTGTCTGTCTTTAAGTCAAATTTGTACGTAATTTGGAAAAATAATCATGTAGCCCATAATAATTGTAATAATTACACAGCAATAATAACAACTAACTATATACGGTACTGAACTGTACCTCAGCCGACAGACCCCTGAAGCTGCACGATGTTTTCACGAGCGTCACAAAGTAGTGTGTGCGTTCATTATTACGAACCATTGTATTTAACCAGAATGTTCTAATGTAATAGGCCTTATGGTAGGCCATTTGTAAGTACGAGTTGTCCGTAAGACAGACGTGCTTAAACTGCCTTTATCTTGTTGGATGGCTGTAAGAACACAACTCCATGTCCCAAAGCTCTCCTTAGAGGGCACTCAGTTATTCCAGGGATTTGTCAAATTTCACCACCAGCTCACCTAATTAATCAAGTAATTAACTAACTTAATTTAAATAACTCCAGGAGGTGTTGATTAGCAAAGTGAGATGTGCTAGAGGTTGAGTTAGAAAATACATTGATGGCATGCTGAATGGTTGCTGCGAATCCTGGGGTAGCTTTAGGAGAGGTTTAAAAATGGCTAAGCTAACACACTTATACATAACATATCACAGATTTATACAAACATAATCATTTAAACAACATTTTCTTTGACTGCCTATGACTTTTGCACAATACTGCATATGAAATTCTCTTGTGATCTGTGTATTTCTGTTGGTTTTAATATAACCTACATCAATAGACATATTCATGAAGCTCTTAAATTACTGTAGACGAAAGTTCAGTTTGACCTTTACCTCTGTAAATTTGCAGAGATCGCTTGTTGCCCCAGTGGCTCCCCCTGCTGGTGGAGTGCCCCCTAATCACGCGCATGTATGAGGAGAACGCCCTGCTGCGAGACCACACCACTGTCAACTCACTCATCAGTGTCCTCCAGACGCTGCACGACTTCAACATCACCCTGGAGTCCTCCCTCACCAAGGGCGTCCAGCTGTAGCCAGCCAAGGGATCAGGCTACATCGACTGTACACAAACTTCTGCAGATGCTCAAACATCTACCCCTATACACAATACTTACGTACATACACCTGCAGACTAACTCCCTGCAGCAGGAACAGAAAGAGACGAAGACGTCCGAAATGTGGATTTGCTGCAAGAAACAAGACGCATTGTGTTAGGCCAGCCTTTGTGTGTGTGTGTTGTCCAAGTATGGACACATAATTGCCTAACGTGCTATTTAACGGATTTTGAAAATTAGTAGCAAACTTAAACCAATGATATTTTCTTAGTGCTAGTTTTTTTTGTGTAAATATCTTTTCCGTGATGCTGGTTCTGAAGAGTTGACTGCACCTCTCAATGGTCTGTGCATTAGCTTCTAGCCTAGCCCACCTGGCCGAATTTGAATCCTATCCTAGGTGTTTCCACGTGATACTATAGAAAGGTGTGGTAGCGAAAGCTGGCTTTCGTGATATGTAAAGGTGGGGGGGGGGGGTGGATGGTGGAGGAGCTTCTCAGGAGCTGTGGTTGTCTGCAGATCACGCCGTGTACGGCGCCTGGACGTCTTCACATAGACTGCATGTTGCTCTGCAGCCCAACGCTGCACCATGTATGCCCCTAAGTGCTGTGGCGATTGGCCGCTGGCTTTGCACACGCCCACTCTACAGAACTGGGGATTGGAGAGGTCCGTCTTCTGTCATGCTCGAGTGGCAGAGCTTTCAGCAAACAGGACATTCCAGTGTATGGAAGGGGACAAACTGAGCCCACGAGCTTCTCCTACCCTCGAATGCCTGCTGAAGTCATGCTTACACCTGCATCGTTGTTTCTTTACTGGAAACTCTGAGCACTTCTGTGGTTCAATTATCACGCACATTGACTGAAATCTACAAAACCATATTCTGATTTTTGTCTGGTCATTGTCTAAGAATGGTGTGTATTGTTAAGTGTCTCTCTCAAATTCTCTCTCCCTCTCCCCCAACCAAAAGGATGATTCAGAATACTATATATATATTTTGCCAAGAATTTCAAGTATAGTCCCATAGTCTCAGGGCTGGTTTGCCTCCTAATTTTTCAGAAAAAAAAATAACAGTACAAGGAACTGGTAAGTGTAAACTGGCATATGCATTAATAGCAATAACCTTAAAGGTCTCATATTTTTTTCCTACACAAAGCAGCAACTCACTGAAGGTTCATTCAGACCCATCACAGAATTAACTGGTTTGGGGATAGTTCATATTTTTAAAAATGTAAACATATTTTTTTATTCCATCTGTGGATCCTAATGTGCTTTTTACTGATAACAACATACACCATTTTCCACATGTATCTACAGTTAAAATCAAGTTTTAAAGTCTGGTTATATAGGAATATATGTCAAATATTTGCACAAACAGCCCCCAAGTCTACTGTTAAAACATAGTATGCAGCACAAGGATATAATTGTGTTTTGATTGTACCCTGCTTAATTCATTATAGATTTAAATTACTCATGCATGTGGTTCTATAGTATCTGCACACCTTCTCCCTTTTTTGAACAGCCAGAAGTGAACCAAGGAAAAATCCTAGTGTAAAATTTAGTGTTGGTGATTTTCTGGTGTTACTTTCATTAAGGATGCAATAGATAGCCTTTAAAGGTGCCACAGATTATTTATTAAGGTAATGTGTTCATTTTCCAACAACCAAACATTATTTGCTTTATTAAATGACATGGTGTACCCTTGGCAGTGGCTGGGAGATGTGAATTACATGGGCATCACACAAGTTTTCTCCTGTGTTATACCTATAACAACATTTTGGACAATTTGTCCAAGTTTTTTCCTTTGAGAAGAATATGGATACATGGGTGGTGTTTGGATTTTTTTCCTGACTGCAGCAAGATGTTAAAGTCTCGTGAGTCCAATACACTGAGATAATTTTAAATTGGACTTAATTGTGATCTCATTAATGTTCAAGAGTGTTGTTTTCCTTCTTACATTTTTGTTCTGTATATTTTATGTACTGTCACAAGGAAACTCTGGGAAAGACACCTTTTGAAATTGCACTGTACATTTTGAAACCAATGTCCTTGGCCTTGTACATCTGTCATTGTTTTGTCCTTATAATGTTAATGTGAATGATCTGGGTAAGTTACAAAGGATTCTTGAGTCTAAGTGCATATGATCTTTACATATCACTGTTGTGTTATACTCTTTATGGAATCTTTCATTAAAGACGCTCTGTACATCCACTTAAATCCCGTGTGTATTTTTTTCTGGCTGTATGTAAAATAGTAATATCATTCTTATTATTCTTGTTATTGTAAGAATAATAAGCATTAATATTATAAGTATTATTAATGATTGTAACATAATGATTACAGCGTCCTGGTTCTTTGCATTATATGCCCAAAATTATAATTCTTTCCTGCAGTGATCAAGTTGTCTGCACTGGTAAGACAGTCGCTTATTCGGATCGGGTTAGTTATCAAATACGTATACTGGTGCTGTGGTAAGTGAACACGCTTTTATAAGAATACTGTTGCGACATGAAATGTGTCATAATCAAGTACAGATGTAACTCTTTAATTTTTGAAAAGCTTAGTGTTAAACTAAGCAAATTTGTAACGCTTCGGAAATGTCATGATTCACCCCGAATGCCTCGCAGCTCCGTAGCCCAGTACCTCCGCCTGGTATTACTACAGCAGCGTGTGTCCGCTCGCGTGTTTCCTACTGTTCCCGTAGTAATCGGCGTGGCTCCGCCTTCCCGCTTAGATACTTTCACTGCAGTGAATGTACCATGGAAACTGGCCCCAGCCCCCATTTCCCGCGCAATATTCGCTTCCTTATAAGGGCAACAGAATTCAAACGCAGCCGTACGTCAGGCGTGTATGTAAATCGATTTGATTGAAGAAAATTAGAAAATGGTGGCGTGGGAAAGGCGCATGCGCAAACACGAAGCGATTTACTATCTTCCAGACAGTAGAAGTGAGACGTCAACAAGCGAAGGTGTTAAATGAGGAACACTTGTTTTAACGGTTTTTTTCGAATTCATTCACATTTACGGGCTCATTTCGTTTTACATCACGGTAAGAGAACGCATTACTTGATACGCATTTTCGCAGTGTTTATGGTTTTTAAAACCGTGTTCTTTTATATTATCCTCGCATGGTATCATTCAAAACAAGTTATTTAAATAAGCGGTATTACTTAATTTTTCGGAAATGGGGATATGTAAATCTGTTAGTGAGCTTGTACGTCTTTGGCAGCAGTTTATTGACATTTGAGCCTCAAAGAAAGTACGACGTTTATAATACTTATTAAAATACCGTCTCCGGTAATGGAGCGTGCACGTTGTTTTGCCGAAGACGGAGTGATAAAAGTGATGGGGGTTTTTTTTTCCTCTCTGTGATCCTTTTAAAACGGAATAGCAAGTGCCACGAGTAAAGTTTTATTCCTAGCCAGACGGATGTATGACACGGAATAAAATTTTTAAATATACTTTTTATGAGAATTGACACTTTGGACCGGGGCCGAATAAACGGTCGATTTCGTGCTGTCTGTGCCACTAGTTCGGTAAGATGTTGTCTCCAAGTTAAATTCGCGTTATCCGGTTATCCCGTGCGTGTTTCTGGTTACGTCTCGGGATTTTTTTGCGGCCATCCTTGTAGTGGAAAGTGCACGTTTCACGCCTGTTCGGGACTCGTCAATCAACGCAGCTCGTCAATCTACATTTATTAACTTGCTAAGGCGATAACATTTACAACACGTTGCTCAAAAAAAAGAAAATGCAAATGCTATAAAGATGTAATGGCGTCGTCTAACTACAGATGAAGCCCGCGGCTCGCCTTACATTATTGTGCGAAGTCGCGTATTTTGTGAAATCAGTTGCCATTTTGCACTTATTCGATTATTCTGATTGTAGTCGTTCGATCCCGCTGAGGGGGATGGACGGGCGCCGCTTTGAAGTTGCTGCGCGCCTCCGTGTACTTCAGGCTACGGGAGTAACTGCGCACACCGCCGCAGAGTCATTCGGAAAACAAAGGGGCACATCGCATCTTATATTCGCTTATGTTCTGCTTTTTTGTATGCGCTGGCACAACATAAGCGTAGTTGATGGGTTTTGGTATATTTGTGATTTTATTACTTGATTCGTATTGGTTAATTGTGGTAAAAGGCATCTGAAAGCTGGCGACCGCGCTGCAGTGAAAATGGAGTGAAAATGGGTGCGCATGATGCAGAGCCATGCTTCCCCGGAGAAGCGGTGGGCGGTGAGCGCCTCCTTTTACCTTTTCGCAGGAGACGACTAGCGCATTTCGAAATGCGTGAACGTCGCTTTGGCGAATAATGCGGGCGCTTTACCGGTTAAACGACCGTCTGCGATCTAATATGGATATTTACTTGCTTAAAATCCCGTTTTATTCTTATTCTTTTTGCAATTTCCGCAAATGCATTTCTTTACAGGTCTGCTCAAATCCCCCCCCCCCCCCATTCGTTCCCTTTGAAGTGTGTTGCCATGTTTGAATTACGTCAGGCTCCGAATTATACAGTCCCGCTGTACTAATTTGAAGCTGTGGAAAGCAACATTGACAACAGGCTCGCCTTGTTTTTATGGACAGATTTTGTGTAATTTGTTGTAATAAGTGGATTTAGGAGGAATGTTGCCGGAGTTGACGTGTCGCTCGTGAAGGCTAAAGTGAAATGAACAGAACAAACCTTTTCGGTCAGGGCCCATTTCAATAACTTTGTGGAACTAGTCTGTTATTTAAATAAATAAATGATCACGACAATCCCAATTGCGCTCATTTTAATGTCTAGCCAGGGTAGCCATTCCTCACCAGCTTATTGAAGGAGGATCGTCCAACTTCTGACGGTCGTTTGTTAGTTGATGTTCGACAGCCATGCATTATCTAGATGGTATGCAGGATTTAGTCATATTTTACGCGATTTATTAATGCTATCATATACGCTACGGATGACCTAGTTCTCTTGATCTGGATCACGACACTGTTCGTCTGCCTTATGTTGTCTGCAGGACCCCGCGGCGATTGGAAACTTAGACAGAAGGACATTGCTTTTTAGTGTTACTTTTCGCACGTATGATTACAGGTCAGTTTAGAAAAACTAGCATTCTCTTTTTGTTAATTATGCACAAACCGCCTTCAAGAATTTTGTGTTCAACCTTACATTTGAGGAAGTTAGGTGATCTAATTGATAAATATATCAATGAAGGATGTAAAAAGAAAACGTGTACTCTGTTATTGGGACTTTTATTTATCGTACGATCACGCATCTGCACTCCCACTTACTCGTGTTCTTACCACGTGCCATTTGAAGGAAAATGTTTGGTTTCCATAAGCCGAAGATGTACCGCAGTATAGACGGCTGCTGCATCTGTCGCGCCAAGTCCTCCAGCTCGCGCTTCACGGACAGTAAGCGCTACGAGAGGGACTTCCAGAGCTGCTTCGGGTAAGCATGCTGTCCTTCGTGCTGCACTCCCGTCCGACTTGACAGATACAGATGTTGGAGAGTTTACTGTAATATTAAAACATAGTTTTCGTGTATAGCACTGCCCCCCCCCCCACACACACACCAAAAAATACTAGAGTAAGTACTGAGTAAGTTGTAATTTTATGAAGTTAGAAGAGCCTGGGGATTGAGCAAGCACATTTTACGTAATGGTGCATGTAATGGTACTTGACCTGATAATTGGAAAAACAGTCTCTGATCTGGACTTCATTTGTATTTGTGAAATGACTCAACACAAGCACACAGGGACATTCAGATTAAAATGCAGCAGCTTCTCCTACTGATTTTTTTATGTCCTGTATCCATTCAGTGAGCTAGGCAATGGACATATTCCGTTTTGAAATAATAGTTTACCGGGATGCACGATGTGGGATCTTTTTTCCGCAGGCTTGCTGAAACTCGGTCTGGGGAGATCTGCAATGCCTGTGTACTCCTGGTGAAGCGCTGGAAGAAACTCCCGGTGGGATCCAAGAAGAACTGGAGTCATGTATGGACCCCCTCAGCACCCCTCCCCCAAGCCCAACCGCAATATGAATAACTATACAAAAACGTATAGAAAAATTAATGGTTCTTGAGTTTTATTCTTGATAACAAACGGTTTTGTCACATGGTGCAGAACATGCTTGTCAAATGTGATGTAAATGCATTGTCTTCAGTTTGGTTGCAATTCGAATCTACTACTCCTTGTTGTTAGGTGTAGTGATCTTATTAGTATCACTCCTGTTCCCCAGACAGTGCCAGCATGTGTTTATGCTGTGAGATCCTTGCGCTGGAAATAGGCAGCTTGTAATAATGTAGTGCGGCTTGCTCTATTCCAGGTGGTTGATGCGAGAGGTGGGCCAAGCTTAAAGACTTCAGTGAGGCCGAAGAAGATAAAGCCATTGTCGAGGAGAGTAAGGCCGAGTCAGATCAACAAAGTCCAGAAGGAGCTCAAACGGCTGTGTAAGCCCTTGCTTCCTAAGCTTGATTAATTTTGTTTTTGGAACTTCGCCTAGACCATCGCTAGTTGAACATGATTAGACATGTTGAATGTGATCAATGGTTGTTTGTTTTTCTTTGAAAATGAAAAGCCGATTCTCGCTGGGTGGGTCTCTCGCTTCACAGTAAGGATAGAACAACTTTGGATGTCATCTGAGTCCTCCATGTGGCTGGTGAGGATTATTTTCTTGACAACATTCCTTCTCTGATTAAAGGGTCTGACCTTCTCCTGTGTTTATTTTAGACTCTGATGCCCACAGTACCACATCCAGCGCCTCTCCAGCTCAGTCTCCCAGCTACAGCAACCAGTCCGATGAGGGATCGGACTCTGAACTTGCCTCTGGCTCTTCCCGCTCCCCGGTCTTCTCCTTCCTTGACCTCACTTACTGGAAAAGGTAAAGACTTTGCTTGCTTGGCTATTGTGTTTAATCGTAGTTCAAATTAATTTCCTGTCATATTTCATTTGGCCATCATCTCCATTGACTAGTACCTGTCCAAACAAGGGAATATTTCCACGATGCCTACAGTCTTTGTATATAAAGGCTTCAATAAGTGTTGCTGTTTTCTTGCAAGTTGGAGCTCCATCTGGTGGCGGGGTGTTCTGTTGTAAACATGCACTGCCTCTGTTTCTGGTCTGGTAGGGTCATCACTAACTCGCACACAGTTAAACTTGTACTGGAATTACCCTTATGACTTCCATGTTCTGCTTTAACTCTGTCATGGATTTCAGCTGAAATTTAGAATATTTCTCTGGGATGACGTAGTGGCATTGGCTCACACTGCTGCTTCTAGTTGCTGTCTCATCCAGGGTGTACTACTGCCTCGTGCCTTTTGCTGCCTGGGATAGACTCCTAGCAGCCCTGACCCAGCATAAGCAGTTGGAAATTTTTTGGTGGCTTCCATATACTCCTTTTACCACTTACAAATACAGGATGTTATATGCACGGGATATAAAGTTTTCCTGTGTCTTTGAAATGTTACTTACTGGCAGAAATCTGTGTTTTGATCTGTCTTTTGAGATGTAGACCATATAAAGCATAGTATATGTAGCCGGCATCGTTTAGCGAAATTCACTGTCTAAGGTGGCTTGTTCTTTTCATGATTAGTTGTAGATAACCATTGAGCTAAGCAGTCTCTTGTCTTAGTTCATGTTGTTGGGGTGCTCACTTGTGCGTTCAACCGTTTACAGGCAGAAGGTGTGCTGTGGAATTATCTACAAAGGCCGCTTCGGGGAAGTCCTGATAGACCCTCATCTCTTCAAGCCCTGTTGCCGTAAGAAACAGCAGCAACAGCAGCAGCAGCAGCAGCAAGAGGAAGAAGATGAGACCCAGGAGAGCCAAGAGGGCAGGGAAAGCCTACAGCCACAGAGCCTGCTGTCACCCCCTCAGGCCAAAGAGGAAGAGGAGGAAGAGCATATAGAGGAGGATGAAGAGTGGTGACATCATTTCTTCCCCTCCACCGATCAGAAGATGCCTTTAATTGCCTTCATTTCAGGAGAACTTTTTTTGGTTTTTATTTGAGTGGTTGTACTTTGTGTATTTGATATAATGAGCCACGCAGACTTTTCTAGTTTTCTCTCTCAATGGTATCTTTCCCCTCCTATCTTTTAACAAGAAATGCTTGGATTCTGCTTGGAGCGCACTCTCCGCTCCCTTTGGACGTCTGGACGCAGCAGGCGAAAGACTTGGAATGACTCTCGCACTCGTGTTTCTTGCTTCTAGACCAGAGCCATAACTGAAGCTGGCCCTTCTTCCTGCCGTTTGCCTTGCCCAAAGACCTGCTTTGTATGTACGTCTATATCCACTATGTGGGTATGGGCATCCTACTGAAAACAAACCTAGTTATAAACTCAAACACCAGCCTTAAATTCTTAGTCGTCGGTTGTTTATCAATGTATTATACTTTCTTTTTTCAAAATGGTTGTTACGGGACCAATTGATAGTCACAATCGGAAACTGACACCTTTTAGGAAGTATCGGTTATCCTGCATGACATAAGCGATAGATTTTCCAAAGTATATCTTTGTAAATTGCATGATATAAGCCATTGCATGGCCTTTGGTGGTAGGGATGTTGTGCCTTTTTGGGCCTAATGGTAAAAAAAGCTATAAGCATTTTTAATAAAAATGAAATTAAGTATAGAAAAAATTATGGACGACTTTCCGCAATGTACTTATCAAAGGGTTAAGATTGGGAGTGTGACACACACAAGTGTGCAATGTTGACATTTAAAAATGGATGTACTCTGCAACATAGTGTACTGCATACCTCCAGTGGCTGTCTGTGTGCTTTGTCATATTCATGCTTTTGTGTATTTACGTAGCTAGCGCTTTAAGGGCACTGTATGCTACTATACTGATACAGTTGGGCCAAAATGAGACCCTATCTGCCTCCAACACTTTTCCAGTGGTTGATTTAACTATTTCCTAAGTAGCGAGCACCTTTTTTTTTTTTTGGATAGTGGTCACACACCAAGAAGTATAGTGAAGAATAAACAATGGTTGTGACCAAATTTCTGGATCCGTGAGGGCCCTTGTGCAAGGTGTTTTTTTTTTTTATTATTCAAACATCAACGAGAGTACCTGGCCGCGAACATGGCCTTTAAGACAATAAGGCTGTGTATGTTTAAGAAGATAAAATATCTACCCCCCATAATCAAATGATGTTACCTCTAGAAAAGATGTATAATAGGGATTGGACTGTATTGATTAAATGCTTAGAGATATTTTAATTAACCCTGTTGCTTTTGTGAATGGTAGATTCATATATTTTTTTTTATCTTGCATATTCACCTGTGAGCAGCTTCGCGTTACGCTTACTGACCAGAAGGCGGTGCTGCTGAATCGTCAGTTTTTTTTCCCCCCAGCAGTAAACCGTCTGACTAGTTTTTGTGTGTTAAGTTTCGCCATGCAATCTCATAAAGCATAGCGTTTCAGACTCAATGGTTGTTATACATCAATGAATTATTAAACATTTCGTCAATGTATGTCACCACTGAGATAAAATACCAGTTAATATGTGGTCCGGTTCATATTTTATTATATCCTATTAGTGGATGTGTTTATTGGCAGCTATATGTTAAAATTTCCCCTAAACGTTAAGTGCAGTTGACAGCTTGGTATTTAAGCTTTATTGTAGGAATGCTGCAGACCAATTGACTTTTCACCAATGTATTTGTAGGAATCTCATGCATGGACACTAAAATGGTACTTTTTGTGTGTGTGATTTTTCTCCCTGTCATATATCTGGGAGGGTTTGTGTACATATTTATTCTTGGGGAAATCCTGTACCGGTTGACTTTCCTTCCTGTTATTTATTTATATTTATTGGTACCACTTTGTTTTACTTTACTGGGTGTGCTTTTTATCTTTTTTTTATTATTTTACATGTACTTTTCACACTTTATGTGCGGTTGATGGATCGACACAATGCATGTTAAATCGTGGTAATTTCTGTAGTATTAGCTTAAGGATTTCTGTATTTTGCTTGTGTTGGACCTTTATATGTCTCTGATGTTTATTTTTGAAGTAGCAAGGGTGAAACAAACCATATTTAGAAGTGTTATGTTTGCTCTAAGCACCTCTAGTCGAATTACATAATCGTGTCTAAATTTTTCATTCTACCATGACCACCATTTCAGAATTTCACATTTCAAAGTTACATATTGATGCTTTAGTCGCAAAATGATTTATGTTCTGTATTTGTACGCAGACAAGTAATTTGGAATTTGAAAATGAGCCCCTTGCAATGATGGTATACCAATCTGAGATGAAATTATGATTATTTTTGTATTGATTTTGATTGTAAATTTCCAAAAGGAAAGTTTGACCTTTCAACTCCCACACGAAATCTCTACATAGACTAGTGTCTTAGCTGTAGTAGTACAGGCATGTATGGTAGCTATGCACTTTGTATTGACAACATTAGAAATATATGAAGCAAGTTTTGTATTTTTATACATATTGTACGTTTTTTACTAGTTTAATAAAAGTAGTTTGTGAAAATGACTGTTTACCTCAAGGTCTGTTACAGCGTATTACGCAGCTACTAAGCGCATTAGAGTTACGGATTATTCACTGCACATAAGATTTTACAACGAAGATAACATAATTAAATATAAACTTCCGAAATAGACTACCAAATTCAAGCAACTGTGTGGTACAAAGGGTTTTTGTGAAACCTGAAGAGCAGAAGTTGACGACAATTTACGACGTTTCATTTTTTGGTTTCACTTCCGATGCCATGAACGACAACAAAGTAAAGGTTAGAACCATCTGCAAACAAAACACTGCTGTTGCGGTGATAGATTTGTTCAGCAATATCAGGACATTTTGGCATCCAATCTGACGTAACATACTGCATATATAAAGTCTGCTTGCTGGATTTTATAAGGGCAAACACTGTGATGGACAGGTAGGGAAGTACGGTCATGATTTTATTTAAGGCATCTCTCCAGACTAAAAATGGAGGGTTAGCAGGGAAACTAAGAGTAGAAACAGGAGGATTATGTTACTGTTTTTCAGTCAGCTACCTTGGGTGCGTGCGCGCGCGCGCGTCGGGCACGATGACGTCACTCTGCATCTATATGCCCTAATTGCTGAAGCGCTTCAGTCTATAAAACGCTATTAAGGTGGGACATGGCCAGTCCGTGCTGAAGCTGACATCGCGTATTTAGGTTCGTGTGGCAGGAGTGGTCCTTTAGCTGAGGTTTTTTTTTTTTTTTTTTTTTTTTTGTTTTTTTTTTTTTTTTTTTTTTTTTTTTTTTTTTCTTTCCCTTTTCCACTAATAATTTCCTCTTTTCTCCCTTCTGTTAAGTACCTGCGCCGGGTAACATTTGGAGCATTTATTTATTTTGCGCGTCTGTTTCATTGGCGTAGCGAACGACTGGTTCGTCTTAAGCTTTACTGCAAATTTATTTTTGCGGGAGTATTCGTTTGTTTGCTGGTGTGTATGATCTGGTTGTGCCGCTCCTATATCTTAAATCATAGGCTATGGGGATGAACTTCCGCTGCAAGTTCGTATGGATGACATGCAAGTTTGCTGAAATCCGTTTTGCTCCCTCGTGGTAAATGTGTGTTTGGAATTTTTAAAAAATGGTTTGTGGTGTGTATTAATCGTGTTGCCGGTTTTCTGAAGTGGTTGTTTACGACGGGAGTGAAACAGGCACCATGGTACGGTCCTGTCGCTTCTTCAGAGTCCACGCTGATTGTGATTTTTGTTTTATTATGCTAATGTATTATTTATGCACCCTTAAGCGTTCAGACTTGTGAATGCTGCTTATGCTCGTTTAGCGTCAAGCGTGCGATTTAATGTAGTTTAGTCCACCCTTTCAGGTGAATTTGCTGCAGTACTGGTTTTTCTCTTGATGGCTGTGTATTTAAAATTTACACGTTAGTGTTTGCTCATCACTTTAAAAAAAATCTTTTATGTTGGGCTACCTTTCTCGTGTGGGTGAATGTAGACTGGTACCACACTCAGCTAAATGCTGCGTGTCATTCTTATTGGATCTAGCCCATGTATTTGTTCCCGCCCCCGTCCTGACTGAGCTATATGTCAAACTTTTTTTTTTTTTTTTTTTCTTCCTGCTTTCTATCTTAGGCAAGATGGTGCACCAGTCGTCTTCCTCCATCCTCGATGTGTCTTCCCCCTCCGAATGCTCTGAGGAGGTCCCTGAGACTCCAGGCAGCCCCAGACCAGACCCTCCCGATGCCTTGAGCTCTTTGCAGCTGGATCTGGCTGCTTCTACCACCACTTACCAAGGCTATGAGACGTATATTGAAAACGGCCTTATCTGCCTGAAGCACAAGATCCGCAATATTGAGAAAAAGAAGGTAAAGCTGGTCAATTTTAGCTAGCAACTTTTGATCTTTGCAGCAATCCATAGGCCTACTTCATGCTTGTATTCAAAATGTCTCTGCTTAGCCTAGGGTCAATAGGCATTGCACACTAAGCTTGTGATGGTTTTTATATATGTTTTCAGTTGAAACTGGAAAATTACAAGAAACTCATAAAGAATGGGGAATCCCTCAATCAGGACCAACTGGTGGGTAACTTCCAGATTAAAGCCAGGAGCTGATTGCCAGACAATTCTGCATGTTTAGCTGAAATGTACTGCTATCGTGAATTTGTGCAGATCACACGCTCTCTGCTTTCCAGGATGCCGTGGAGACGTACGAAGAAGTTGTCCATAACCTGAAGTTTGCCAAAGAACTACAGAAGACGATAGGTGCCCTCAGCCAAGATGTAAGTGCCCTTCGTAACTTTTGAGGGTATAATTTTGTGCAGTGCATGTTATCGGTATTCACATCAGATTCAGAGTAAGCTGCATGTGTAAGGATGAGTTCATAAATCGACATCTGCAATGATGTGCTCAGGTTCAGTTGCATGTAATACATTTGCAAATTGAATGTACTATACAATTAGCATAGTGGTATTGCATTTTTAAATGTGAAAAGATGTCTAGTAGAATAGCTCTACAAATCGGTATTATAAACTGTCTGAGGCCTAAATTATACCAAAATAACACTATGGTTCCTGTCATGGACATCCTGTGCTGAGTAAGGATAGTGTTTCCACGACCATGGGCTCCGTTTTAGTGAAAGGATGCCAATCTGCTGAATCACAAATGACTACTCCTTACCCAGTCTGGTAATCAGTGTAGCCACACGTGCATCAGTACTAAGCTAGGAATTTTTAATTTTCAGCTTTCTGTTGTACTGCAGGTTTTTTTTTTTTTTTTATTCAAAGGAAATCTTCCTGAAGTGGCTCACGTCTTCACATTTTAAACTACAAGTGCTACATCCCTTGGTTGATCAAGTGAAGTGCTCATATACATTGTCCTTATGAAATCATTATTAGTGTTTCCCAATCTGGGCCTTGGGGACCTACAGACAGTCTGTGTTTTTGCTCCCTCCTGGGGATTGTCTCCCAGGGAGCTGGGAGGGAGCAAAAATGTGTTCTCTGTGGGTCCCCGAGGACTGGGTTGGGGAAACACTGCATTATTAGAATCCAGCCTAGGTGTCGATCACGTGTTGCCGCAGTTGCTGAAGGCCCAGAAGAAGGCGGTAAGGCGAGAGCAGACGATTCAGATGGAGGCAGAGAAGCAGCGGCTGTGCACCGTGCTGCAGGTTTACTACATCCTCCAGAACCTCCAGAAGGAGCACACAAGGAAAGACTTCCGCAGTGGTCTGAACGGGGCCCCCTTCTTGTCTGCACGCGAGCTGGAGCATTTGCTAGAACTGTCCACCTTGCTAGGCTGCCGCAGGGATGAGAGCATGAGGTAAGGCTCTTCTCAGGAGTTGGTGAAGTTCTGTTGAGCGATTGACCAATTGTGCTCATACCTTGGTGCAAACGGCCTCTTCCATGTGGGAGTTCCTTTTCAGTCATGTTCTGTCGTTCAGTCAGGTTAAATCGGGTATGTGTAGGTATTGTCGGTTTATATCTGAGGATTCTCAGGCTTGCAGGGAATTGTCTTTGGTAAACTGACTGCTCAGCCTCGTCGGCTTGCTTTTGTTCCAGTCTTCAAGACCAAATGGAACAGGTGTCCACTGTTTACTGGGATTTGCTAGAAGGAGGAGAGAAGCCAGTCGCTGGAACTACCTGTAAGCACAGCATGTTGCATCTTTGAAATATCTTTGTGGCCCTTTGCCCTATTTTGAGTAATCCACTAATTTTTGGTAAAGGAATTTTAGGTTTCACCTGAATGACCCATTTGTAAAGCAGTGATGTTTTGTGCCTGGGTGTTTCTGGAAGGTCAAAAACCATTTTGATGTCATTTGGTTTCTTAGGCAACTTTTTGTTTTGTTGGCTTACAGTTCCATTCTGTTTCCCTCGTAGACAAGCACCTGAAAGAACATCTAGCAAGACTGATGGACTGTGCATATTTTGATCACATCCCAGTTCCACACAGTGAGAAACTGGAAGAGGAGACTCTAGAGGGTAAAAATAAGAAGATGACCATAAAACCACAAAGAATCGTGTCAGGTATTCCGTATAATCCGTCAGGTAATCTGTATAGACAATGGTGCCATTTGATGATTCCCTCTAAATATTGACTACTATGGCTTTGTAGATCTGTCAACGCTGATGGCCAGAACTGAGACTGCATCCAAAGAGGTATAACTTGAGATAACATGCCATCTCATCCAGATACGGCATGATGTGTGTCATGGTTTCATTCTCTGTGAAATCCACAAATGTGAGGGGAAAACTTACAGCTTACTTCTCTACAATTTAGTTTAACAGGCGCTACCTGGTTGATGGAGACTTCAGTGGTCAGGTCCAGCCAAATAAACGTCCAGCACCAACGACGAGCTGGAAGGCTGATTTTCTAGCTCTAAAACAGCAGGAGCCTCCAGACTCATGGGATATGGACTTTGAGGATGTCCCAACACCTCAACCGGTTGCGCCCCAGAAACCCTGGAGTGGGGCGATAGGGTTTGTCCCAAAAGCACAGGCTGCCATGAACAGTTCCACCAAAGCAACCAAAGAGGTAAAGCTTCATTTCTGAACCCTATTTTTAAGACCCATGCTGTCAGGAAAGTTCCCGTTTGTACCTTTTTGCTTGTCATTGGGACTGTACCCTTGAGGGTCTGCCAGTTGTACCCTAACTGTAGGTCAGGGGTGGCCAATCAATCTAATTGGGGAGTTGCAGCAAAAACCCACATACACTGTGGCCCTTTCTGGATAAGATTGGCCACCCCTGCTGCAGGTAATTGGACCTTTTTTAAGATGCAGAAATGTACAAAAATGTTTCTCATAGTTCCATTGAGGGTACATTAATGTTATTTGTACCTTGGGGATGTCCCTCAGTCCATTTCTGTACCTTAAATTAGACTAAAAGGTACAATTCTCAGATGCTTGAGGGTTCAGCCCCAGTAACAGGCAGTGGTACAAACTCGTACTTTTTTTTCCCCTAATAGTGCACTTCATTTTAAATTTTCTCCAGATAGAACTAAGTTGCCTTTTGTTCAAGTAATATTTCGTAGCTCTACTTGTCCAATTAAGG